GTTGTGGTAGTAGTCAGTAAAACTGTTGTGGTAGTACGTCAGTAAAACTGTTGTGGTAGTAGTCAGTAAAACTGTTGTGGTAGTAGTCAGTAAAATTGTTGTGGTAGTAGTCAGTAAAACTATTGTGGTAGTACGTCAGTAAAACTATTGTGGTAGTATGTCAGTAAAACTGTTGTGGTAGTAGTCAGTAAAACTGTTGTGGTAGTACGTCAGTAAAACTATTGTGGTAGTATGTCAGTAAAACTGTTGTGGTAGTACGTCAGTAAAACTATTGTGGTAGTACGTCAGTAAAACTGTTGTGGTAGTACCTCAGTAAAACTGTTGTAGTAGTACGTCAGTAATACTGTTGTGGTAGTATGTCAGTAAGACTGTTGTGGTAGTAGTCAGTAAAACTGTTGTGGTAGTATGTCAGTAAAACTGTTGTGGTAGTAGGTCAGTAAAACTGTTGTGGTAGTATGTCAGTAAAACTGTTGTGGCAGTAGTCAGTAAAACTATTGTGGTAGAATGTCAGGAAAACTGTTGTGGTAGTACGTCAGTAAAACTATTGTGGTAGTATGTCAGTAAAACTGTTGTGGTAGTACGTCAGTAAAACTATTGTGGTAGTATGTCAGTAAAACTGTTGTGGTAGAATGTCAGTAAAACTGTTGTGGCAGTACGTCATTAAAACTATTGTGGTAGGATGTCAGGAAAACTGTTGTGGTAGTACGTCAGTAAAACTATTGTGGTAGTATATCAGTAAAACTGTTGTGGTAGTACGTCAGTAAAACTATTGTGGTAGTATGTCAGTAAAACTGTTGTGGTAGTAGTCAGTAAAACTGTTGTGGTAGTACGTCAGTAAAACTGTTGTGGTAGTACGTCAGTAAAACTGTTTTGGTAGTAGTCAGTAAAACTGTTGTGGTAGTACGTCAGTAAAACTGTTGTGGTAGTACGTCAGTAAAACTGTTGTGGTAGTACGTCAGTAAAACTGTTTTGGTAGTAGTCAGTAAAACTGTTGTGGTAGTACGTCAGTAAAACTGTTGTGGTAGTACGTCAGTAAAACTGTTGTGGTAGTACGTCAGTAAAACTGTTGTGGTAGTAGTCAGTAAAACTGTTGTGGCAGTAGTCAGTAAAACTATTGTGGTAGAATGTCAGGAAAACTGTTGTGGTAGTATGTCAGTAAAACTATTGTGGTAGTATGTCAGTAAAACTGTTGTGGTAGTACGTCAGTAAAACTATTGTGGTAGTATGTCAGTAAAACTGTTGTGGTAGTAGTCAGTAAAACTGTTGTGGTAGTACGTCAGTAAAACTATTGTGGTAGTATGTCAGTAAAACTGTTGTGGTAGTACGTCAGTAAAACTGTTGTGGTAGTACGTCAGTAAAACTGTTGTGGTAGTAGTCAGTAAAACTGTTGTGGCAGTAGTCAGTAAAACTATTGTGGTAGAATGTCAGGAAAACTGTTGTGGTAGTACGTCAGTAAAACTATTGTGGTAGTATGTCAGTAAAACTGTTGTGGTAGTACGTCAGTAAAACTATTGTGGTAGTACGTCAGTAAAACTGTTGTGGTAGTAGTCAGTAAAACTGTTGTGGTAGTACGTCAGTAAAACTATTGTGGTAGTATGTCAGTAAAACTGTTGTGGTAGTACGTCAGTAAAACTATTGTGGTAGTATGTCAGTAAAACTGTTGTGGTAGTATGTCAGTAAAACTGTTGTGGTAGTACGTCAGTAAAACTGTTGTGGTAGTACGTCAGTAAAACTGTTGTGGTAGTAGTCAGTAAAACTGTTGTGGTAGTATGTCAGTAAAACTGTTGTGGTAGTAGTCAGTAAAACTGTTGTGGTAGTAGTCAGTAAAACTGTTGTGGTAGTAGTCAGTAAAACTGTTGTGGTAGTACGTCAGTAAAACTATTGTGGTAGTATGTCAGTAAAACTGTTGTGGTAGTAGTCAGTAAAACTGTTGTGGTAGTACGCCAGTAAAACTATTGTGGTAGTATGTCAGTAAAACTGTTGTGGTAGTACGTCAGTTAAACTATTGTGGTAGTATGTCAGTAAAACTGTTGTGGTAAAACGTCAGTAAAACTGTTGTAGTAGTACGTCAGTAAAACTGTTGTGGTAGTATGTCAGTAAGACTGTTGTGGTAGTACGTCAGTAAAACTGTTGTGGTAGTACGTCAGTAAAACTATTGTGGTAGTCTGTCAGTAAAACTGTTGTGGTAGTACGTCAGTAAAACTGTTGTAGTAGTACGTCAGTAAAACTGTTGTGGTAGTATGTCAGTAAGACTGTTGTGGTAGTAGTCAGTAAAACTGTTGTGGTAGTATGTCAGTAAAACAGTTGTGGTAGTATGTCAGTAAAACTGTTGTGGTAGTAGGTCAGTAAAACTGTTGTGGTAGTACGTCAGTAAAACAGTTGTGGTAGTACGTCAGTAAAACTATTGTGGTAGTACGTCAGTAAAACTGTTGTGGTAGTACGTCAGTAAAACTGTTGTAGTAGTACGTCAGTAAAACTGTTGTGGTAGTATGTCAGTAAGACTGTTGTGGTAGTAGTCAGTAAAACAGTTGTGGTAGTATGTCAGTAAAACTGTTGTGGTAGTACGTCAGTAAAACTATTGTGGTAGTACGTCAGTAAAACTGTTGTGGTAGTACCTCAGTAAAACTGTTGTAGTAGTACGTCAGTAATACTGTTGTGGTAGTATGTCAGTAAGACTGTTGTGGTAGTAGTCAGTAAGACTGTTGTGGTAGTATGTCAGTAAAACTGTTGTGGTAGTAGGTCAGTAAAACTGTTGTGGTAGTATGTCAGTAAAACTGTTGTGGCAGTAGTCAGTAAAACTATTGTGGTAGAATGTCTGGAAAACTGTTGTGGTAGTACGTCAGTAAAACTATTGTGGTAGTATGTCAGTAAAACTGTTGTGGTAGTACGTCAGTAAAACTGTTGTGGTAGTACGTCAGTAAAACTGTTGTGGTAGAATGTCAGTAAAACTGTTGTGGCAGTACGTCATTAAAACTATTGTGGTAGGATGTCAGGAAAACTGTTGTGGTAGTACGTCAGTAAAACTATTGTGGTAGTATGTCAGTAAAACTGTTGTGGTAGTACGTCAGTAAAACTATTGTGGTAGTATGTCAGTAAAACTGTTGTGGTAGTAGTCAGTAAAACTGTTGTGGTAGTACGTCAGTAAAACTGTTGTGGTAGTACGTCAGTAAAACTGTTTTGGTAGTAGTCAGTAAAACTGTTGTGGTAGTACGTCAGTAAAACTGTTGTGGTAGTACGTCAGTAAAACTGTTGTGGTAGTACGTCAGTAAAACTGTTTTGGTAGTAGTCAGTAAAACTGTTGTGGTAGTACGTCAGTAAAACTGTTGTGGTAGTACGTCAGTAAAACTGTTGTGGTAGTACGTCAGTAAAACTGTTGTGGTAGTAGTCAGTAAAACTGTTGTCGCAGTAGTCAGTAAAACTATTGTGGTAGAATGTCAGGAAAACTGTTGTGGTAGTACGTCAGTAAAACTATTGTGGTAGTATGTCAGTAAAACTGTTGTGGTAGTACGTCAGTAAAACTATTGTGGTAGTATGTCAGTAAAACTGTTGTGGTAGTAGTCAGTAAAACTGTTGTGGTAGTACGTCAGTAAAACTATTGTGGTAGTATGTCAGTAAAACTGTTGTGGTAGTACGTCAGTAAAACTATTGTGGTAGTATGTCAGTAAAACTGTTGTGGTAGTATGTCAGTAAAACTGTTGTGGTAGTACGTCAGTAAAACTGTTGTGGTAGTACGTCAGTAAAACTGTTGTGGTAGTAGTCAGTAAAACTGTTGTGGTAGTATGTCAGTAAAACTGTTGTGGTAGTAGTCAGTAAAACTGTTGTGGTAGTAGTCAGTAAAACTGTTGTGGTAGTACGTCAGTAAAACTATTGTGGTAGTATGTCAGTAAAACTGTTGTGGTAGTAGTCAGTAAAACTGTTGTTGTAGTACGCCAGTAAAACTATTGTGGTAGTATGTCAGTAAAACTGTTGTGGTAGTACGTCAGTTAAACTATTGTGGTAGTATGTCAGTAAAACTGTTGTGGTAAAACGTCAGTAAAACTGTTGTAGTAGTACGTCAGTAAAACTGTTGTGGTAGTATGTCAGTAAGACTGTTGTGGTAGTACGTCAGTAAAACTGTTGTGGTAGTACGTCAGTAAAACTATTGTGGTAGTATGTCAGTAAAACTGTTGTGGTAGTACGTCAGTAAAACTGTTGTAGTAGTACGTCAGTAAAACTGTTGTGGTAGTATGTCAGTAAGACTGTTGTGGTAGTAGTCAGTAAAACTGTTGTGGTAGTATGTCAGTAAAACAGTTGTGGTAGTATGTCAGTAAAACTGTTGTGGTAGTAGGTCAGTAAAACTGTTGTGGTAGTACGTCAGTAAAACAGTTGTGGTAGTACGTCAGTAAAACTATTGTGGTAGTACGTCAGTAAAACTGTTGTGGTAGTACGTCAGTAAAACTGTTGTGGTAGTATGTCAGTAAGACTGTTGTGGTAGTAGTCAGTAAAACAGTTGTGGTAGTATGTCAGTAAAACTGTTGTGGTAGTAGGTCAGTAAAACTGTTGTGGTAGTACGTCAGTAAAACAGTTGTGGTAGTAGTCAGTAAAAATTGTTTATTATTAATGAGTCTTGTTTGTTGTTTTGCTGAGGTCATTTGTGTTCGTCGGTCGTTATCTGCTCTGATGGACTCCTCAGGACCTGGATTTGGTTATGAGGTTACATCAGTGGGGTCACCATTCATATTGCTGAGGTCACCGGGGCTGTGACATCACCGCTAGTCATGCAGAGGGTCCATTCTGGTGGTGGGCGGGGCTTAGGGAGTGGCCATGATGTCACAGGTTGTTTATAAGACAATGGGGCTGCAGACAGACTCCGGCTGTCCTGCAGGGACAATGGACCCTCTGAGCCCATCTGCATGATGCATCAACTGTGTTAACTTTACTAATGAGCTCCATGTTCTGTCGCCCCTGCTGTCTGTTTACTTTCTCTTGTTTGTGTGTTTGTGTTTATTTGAACCCTTCAGGCGAAGGAGCCTCTTTGCCTTCCTTACCCTGCTGCCGTCCTGCCTTTGGACTGACTATCTTTTGGCTTTTTATATTAATCCGTGGTAAGTGAGCGCCTGCTGCATGTTCCTGCAGTCTGCTGCATTCACACCGCTCAGAGAAACCCGTCTCCTGCGGAGGTGGTCACTTTCACACAAACAGACAAACTCACCTGGCTGCTAGTTTGTAGTGTTTCTGTCCTGTTGGTTTCTGGAATGATGACATCAAATGCTGCGCCTTTTACTTTAGGTAAACATATTACATTTCTCTCCAAAGAGAAACCAGAGAAGGTTATAATAATTTATGCAAACCAACATTTATGAGTAGATTTAGTTTTGTGATTTGATGGGTTCGGGTCTCAAAAGTTAAAACTGATGCAAAATAAAGAACTTTGGAGATTTAATCATTTGTGTAATAGTTAGTGTTTTACTGGTGTGTGTGTGTGTGTGTGTGTGTGTGTGTGTGTGTGTGTGTGTGTGTGTGTGTGTGTGTGTGTGTGTGCGTGTGTGTGTGTGTGTGTGTGTGTGTTTGTTTGTTTGTGTGTGTTCATGTGTGTGTGTGTGTGTGTGTGTGTGTGTGTTCATGTGTGTGTGTGTGTGTGTGTGTGTGTGTGTGTGTGTGTGTGTGTGTGTGCGTGTGTGTGTGTGTGTGTGTGCGTGTGTGTGCGTGTGTGTGCGTGCGTGTGTGTGTGTGTGTGTGTGTGTGTTTGTTTGTTTGTGTGTGTTCATGTGTGTGTGTGTGTGTGTGTGTTCATGTGTGTGTGAGTGTGTGTGTGTGTGTGTGTGTGTGTGTGTGTGTGTTATATAATATGTTTGTGTCTTCTATTAAAAGAATCTGCCCTGACCCTGATCCCTGTTGAACACCTGATTAAAGAAACCAAACAAGTTCTCAAAATTAAAAGCCTGAATTATACTAAATACTAATAAAGTATTTTTGAATTGAATTGAATTGTTTTATTTGCAGAGTAGCTTGGGAGGGGGGGGGGGGGGGGGGGCTACACACATCTGTTAAAAAATGGAGAATTAATGATCTCAGAGACTTTGCGTCTTCTGGAGTTCTGCAGGGATCTGTCATGTGTCCCTTTTGGTTCTTTAACAGCATCAATCCTTTACATTTCACATTAATCCAGTATTACTATTATATTTTTTGCTTTAACTGATTTTTTTAAAACTAGAACAAAATGTGGGATTTTATCACTTTATTCAACAGAGTAAACAGGAATAGGATTTGATGATGTCATGCAGTGTATGTCTGTTGGAGGTGGCCAGCCTGATGCTCACCTGTCCTGCTTGTGTCTGAATGCTGTCACTCACTTGTAGTTCAGTCTGTAGAGTTTAGATCTGCATGCCTCTCCACGTTTCCTCACATACGGAGTCAATGAAGGTAAATGCATGGGTAGTTAAAGTCCTGAAAGCGCATGTTGGATCTAGATCTTTCAGGATATAAGTTCAGGTGAAGGTCGTACACCTGAGCTTGAAGTTGTTTCTTTCCTGTCAACTTGGACCTGTGTTTGGGTTTTTGGAAGTGTGTGTGCTCCTCGGCTCAGAATAAGGATTTTATTTTATATAAACTGCATCTTGTATGGAAAAACGAGATTTTAATTCCAGTCGTTTGTTTTTTTGAATTCCTGCAGAATCTGAGTATAATTTTTGGTCTTTCTAGTTTGGAAGATGAAACTAAATCTGTTCTAACTTCCCAAATGAAAGGTTAACAATATAGTTACTATTTATATTTTTTATTTTATACAAACAAGGATTCAGATTCTACAAATTATATTTACAAAAACAAACAAAACTACTCAAATTTAGTGGTTTTACTGGTTTAAATTTCTTTTTCTTTTTTCATACAAAATGCACAGAGATGTAAGCTGGAGTTTATTCTTAAAGGTGCATTATGTAGAAATGAAGTAACAGTGGCTTCTTGTAAAACGTGGCTTCTGCAACTGCCTCAGACAACTGGAGCTTTTTGCCAGTCGTCGTCAAATTCGCTGCAGCGTTAGCCCTTGTGACATCCGTGGCATTGTGTTGTTTGATCAACCTACACATGTCAGGGTGTCCTTTTATTGTGGGCAGTCTAAGGCACACCTGTACATTATTCATGCTGTCATCAGCCCCTTGATGTGCCACACCTGTGAGGTGGAAGTGCTCACTAACAGACATGTAAACAGATTTCAGAACAACATGAGAGTCATGTTTGAGTTCAGCTCATGAAAAATTGGAGCAAAAACAAAAGTGTTGCGTTTATAATTTTGTTTAGTGTGTTTATTTAAAATTATCTTCAGCTTTTCTCATTTTATGAGAAAATTTGTTTAGCATTGTTTGGAAAAATAATCCTAACAAAACTATTACTTGAAAGGTTTTGTATTAAATGCCGTTTCAACAACATTAAGCTTTGATGTTGAGGGCGGGGCACGGGGTCAGGGACTGAACAGGACCAGGTTAGCTGCTCGTTACTGATCCATCCTAAAATATGTCCTCCACATGAAGTAGATTTGTGTTTTATTGTCTGAAAGTATCTGATTAGTTAAAAAACTAAATGTTGTCTTTACTTAGATTTGTTATAATATTGATTGAAATACAGAGAAATCAACTTGTGAATACAACACATGCTAATATAGCAAGTCTAGCATTTTAGCATGAGCATATTCTCACCTACCACACCTACTTCATTTCCATAGCACAACTTAAGACACAGCATGAGAGCTGACCAAAGTGCTGAACAGGCAGGACCAATTAAAACAAAAGTGAAAACAATAAGAAGATAAAACACAATAAAACTATAAAATCATAATCCGATAACATGAGTCACTGACTAAAAGCCAAAGTGGAAAGTATGGATGTGAATACATCGTATGGCGGGAGCTCTTCTGTACTTTCACCGAGTAAAAGTAGCTCGCGGTCTACAAAAGGATGGAGACCCCTTCATTAGACTCTTTTGGGATTTTCTCACTGTAAAATTCTCACAATATCCTTACATACTGCACCTTTAAATGTTTTTTATTATCTTGATGAATTGAATTTTGACTTGTCTCGGCAGCAGCCTTTTCCCTCCAGAACAACAAATATGTCATTATTTATTTGAAATCCTGAAAAGGTGACAGAAACGGACTAAAACGTCTGATTCTGTCATTCTAATACAACTTATCCTTCGTTAGTAGGGACAGCAGGGGGCGCCGCTGCTGCCCAGACCCTTTAAAGAGCAAATTGCAGGTTAAATTCTATTTAATTTCATATAAAATGCTGTCCAGACAATATTATTTGAAACACTTATTGTATGTATTTTGTTTTAGAATGCATAACAGCCCCTTATTTAGAGTTGACCTTAACCTCTGACTTAAGGAGGGGAGTCAAATACTAGTCCTGCGTGTTATCGAGTCAGTGTGTGTTCACTAGTTTTGGGTTGTGTTCATTTTTCTTAAAAAAACAGTAAACTGTTTTTAGAGGATGTACAAACTCCAGCAGGTCCGGACAGCGAGTCCACGGGTTTCCCAATAATAGAATGAACAGCACCATCTTCTGTTCCTGGTGTGTTTTGTCGTTTGTGGAGAACTTCAGACCGGAGGATTACAATCCCAGTGAGGTGATGGGAGTTCAACACGCCTCCTATTCTCCAGCCTCCTCGGTGGAGTTTTGAAAAATACTTGCCAACTCCTAGAGCCCAGATCAGCATCAGAGCCAGATCAGGGAGGTCCGCTCTGAGCTCCAGAAGACGATGCAGAGCTTTTAAAAACTCCTTGCGAGCCAGGGATGCTGGTTTCTGGGTCGGGACCAGGTCCGAGCCACCTGCCCAGGTGGTGACAGGCGTCTCTCCCTCTTGCTAAAACCTAAACAGCTGACAAATGCTCCATCCTCTCTCTTCCACTTATCCAGAGTCGGGTCGCGGGGGCAGTAGCCTAAGGCGAGAAGCCCAGACTTCCCTCTCCCCAGACACTTGAGCCAGCTCCTCCGGGGGAATTCCAAGGCGTTCCCTGGCCAGGTGAGAGACATCGTCCCTCCCCCGTATCCTGGGTCTACCTTTAGGTCTCCTCCCGGTTGGACGTGCCCAGAAAACCTCACCAGGGAGGCGTCCAGGAGGCATCCTGACCAGATGCCCGAGCCACCTCAACTGGCTCCTCTCGATGTGGAGGAGCAGCGGGTCTACTCCGAGCCCCTCCCGGATGACCGAGCTTCTCACCCTATCTCTAAGGGAGAGCCCAGCCACTCTTCGGAGAAAACTCATTTCGGCCGCTTGTATCCGTGATCTCGTTCTTTTGGCCACTACCCAAAGCTCATGACCATAGGTGAGGGTAGGAACGTAGATCCACCGGTAAATCGAGAGCTTCACCTTCTGACTCAGCTCTCTCTTCACCACGACAGACCGGTACAACGCCCGCATCACTGCAGATGCAGCACCAATCCACCTATCGATCTCACGCTCCAGTTTTCCCTCACTGGTGAACAAGACCCCGAGATACTTAAACTCCTCCACTTGGGGCAGGACCTCGTCCCTGACCCGGAGAAGGCTTTCTGCCCTTTTCTGAATCAAGACCATGGTCTCAGATTTAGAGAAGCTGATTCTCATCCCAGCTGCTTCACACTCGTCTGTGAACCACTCCAGCGAAAGCTGACGATCACGTTCTGATGAAGCCAACAGGAAAAAGCAGAGACCTGATCCTCAGGCCACCAAAACAGATCCCCTCAACACCTTGGCTGCTCTAGGCTTTTTGCCTCCGCGACCACCCGAGCCGCATTCCACTTGTTCTGCCGGTACCCGTCAGCTGCCTCTGGAGTCCCACAGGCCAAAAAGACCTGATAGGACTTTTCTTCAGCTTGACCCTAACCACCAGTGTCCACCAGCGGGTTCGCCTCAACAATGGAAGCACAGAACATGGCCCTCTCGGGCTCAATGTCCCCCACCTCCCCCGGAATGTTTTGGAAGTTTTGTTGAAGCTGGGAATGGAAGCTCCTTCTGACAGGAGACTCCACCAGATGTTCCCAGCAGACCCTCACAATACGTTTGGGCCTGCCAGGTGTGCGGGGCATCCTCCCTCACCATCGGAGCCAACTCACCACCAGGTAGTGGTCGGTTGATGTGGCCTAAGAGGTGCCAAGAGCACATCTTCTTCTCTGGACCAAGCTAACTCCCTCTGCCTGCGCCACGTCTGGTTTTATTTAGAACAACTTCCTGTTATGTTTCTCTAATATTTGTTCAAAGGAGGCTCTAACCTGCAGTTTGCTCTTTAGGCCCTTGTGATTGTGATGATGGTGATGATGATGATGGTGCTGATGGTGGTGATGATGATGATGGTACGGTGGCCCTGAAGTGCAAACCACAAAAACAAATAACTAAACACAAAACCAAACTGAAAACCACAAAAACGAAACACAAACCAGAAGAGGTAGGTACCAATGCTGCAACAACAGGCATCACTGATTGGATGATGGATCCGTTGGCCTTTTGAACCGGAAGTTGTTCTGCTGAACGTGGTTATGTGAAAGAGCAGTCAGCGGGTGAGTCCGAATCCACGGGCAGGACTTACGGGTACGGGTCCTCGCCGGTCTAGCAAGGCCGCTAAGACCGGAACCCAGCGGCTCTGAATTCGGACAGTCTAAATGGTAAATGGCCTGTATTTGATATAGCGCCTTCTAGAGTCCTGGAACCCCCCAAGGCGCTTTACAACACAATCAGTCATTCACCCATTCACACACACATTCACACACTGGTGGGGATGAGCTACGATGTAGCCACAGCTGACCGGGGGCGCACTGACAGAGGCGAGGCTGCCGAGCACTGGCGCCACCGGTCCCTCGACCACCACCAGCAGGCAACGTGGGTTAAGTGTCTTGCCCAAGGACACAACGACAGCGACAGCTTTCAGGACTTACATGTTAACTTTAGATGGTTTCATGTATGTTTTAAGCTACAGAATGAACTTGTTAAACGTACACAACACATTACTACAGAGTATCATCATGTAGGTAATTCATATAAACCAAATGCATTATAAATGGTGAATGCAGCAGGATGTTTTCTAATGTAAACTGGACCTTAGAACTTATTTTGCATCAAATGAGGGTGAAACGTTTTAAAAACCAGGCTTTTTAATAAAATAACATGTAAGTCCTGAAAGCTTCTAGAATAAACAAAGTTACTTTACCTGAAAACGGTTGTGAACAAACGCTGCTGATGGACGTGAAGCTGCTCTAGCTCCTTAATATTCCTGCTCCATGTTCGCTAGCTTTAGCATGTTTCCTTTGCATGTAGCTGCCGCCGCGGCTGTGACGGGACCTACGGGCCACCGTAGAGGTGAAGGCTAGACTGTCCGAATTCAGAGCCGCTGGGTTCCGGTCTTAGCGGTCTGACCGGCGAGGACCCGTACTCGTAAGCATCCTGCCCGTGGATTCGGACTCACCCGCTGACTGCTCTTTCACATAACCACGTTCGGCAGAACAACTTCCGGTTCAAAAGGCCAACGGATCCATCATCCAATCAGTGATGCCTGTTGTTGCAGCATTGGTACCTACCTCTTCCGGTTTGTGTTTTGTTTTTGTGGTTTGCACTTCAGGGCCACCGTATGATGGTGATGGTGACTTCATCATGAGAACATGTTTGTATTTTTTAGGAGCAAGACTGCATTAAAGAAACGGAAGTTAACCAGGTAACCAGCAGCCACATCCAGCCTCCTCCTGCAGGTTGGGGGCTTCAGCCACACAGATTTGACCTACAAGTGCTGTTTGAAAGCCGCGGTCAGGGTCAAACTCAACCTTTGACCCTGACCGGACCAGGACTGATGTTGATGTCTGTCTGAACGATGATCAGAAGGTTGTGGTTGTGTTCTCAGTCCCGTGCAGCTGGACGACTTTGAGATCTATTTCAAAGAGATGAGCAAAGACTCGGCCTACAAGTTCTCGCTGCAGTTTGAGGTAAAGATGGATGGTTTGTGAAACTGTGGTGTGACCCAACACCTGAACCTAGTCTGTTGCTTCTGTAGGAGCTGAAAAGCGTGGGTCTGGATCTAAGCCACGATGCCGCAGACCTGCCCGTCAACAGACCCAAGAACAGATACACCAACATCCTGCCCTGTGAGTCAGCATCCCTCATGTTACAGGCTACCTGTAGCTCACCTGCTCACTAACGTACCTTCTGCTCTCAGACGACTTCAGTCGGGTTAAGCTCGTCTCCATGCACAACGATGAAGGTGCAGACTACATCAACGCCAACTACATACCTGTGAGTACCACACCTGTGTGAGTCAGGCGGACTGGACCGCCTCCTTCCTAAATGTTTGTTTGTTCTGTGACGAGCAGCATCGCGTTACCATGGAAACGCTGAAGCATCGTTGGCTGAAAGCAGACTAATTTAACCTTTGAACCTGAGGGTCCCAAAACTGCTGTTCATACAGTTTTGCAAGAGAAGGTTCCTTTAAAGGAACCCAGGTTACAAAACTTTGTTCACACCATATCCAGTGTGTGTGTGTGTGTGTGTGTGTGTGTGTGTGTGTGTGTGTGTGTGTGTGTGTGTGTGCGTGTGTGTGTGTGTGTGCGTGCGTGTGCGTGTGCGTGCGTGCGTGCGTGCGTGTGTGTGTGTGTGTGTGTGTGTGTGTGTGTGCGTGTGCGTGTGCGCGTGTGCGCGTGCGCGTGCGTGTGCGTGCGTGTGTGTGCGTGTGCGTGCGTGTGTGTGTGTGATTTACACGTTAGCTTCCTTCAGCGTTATGACCAGACCTCATCACACAGACCTTGTGTTGCAGAAATAAACTCCTTTGATTGAAGACGTTTAATGTGTTTCTGATATCTCCAAAAGAGGCCTACAGCTCAAAGGGTTTGACTTTTGTTGATGTTTCTGATGTTCAGGGCTACAAACACTCCAAGGAGTACATCGCTACCCAGGGTCCGCTGCCCGAAACCCGCAATGATTTCTGGAAGATGGTCCTGCAGCAGAAGTCGCCCATCGTCGTGATGCTGACTCAGTGCACCGAGCGGCGGCGAGTAAGGTCTTAACGCTGGGATTTAGATTAGTGGAATTAAGTGGAACAGATGTTCAGGTGTTCCATCATCCTCACAAGTTCGTACGCATCATCATTTAATGTTTTTATTCAAGTTTCACAGGAAGATGCTCAACGTTGGGTTCACAGAACAGTGCCATAAAACCTCTGTGGAGCAAACAAGTTACCGTACACCACATATGTCAGAGTCAAGGCCCGCGGGCCTGTAAACAGGAAGTGGAAAGGCTGCAGATAGATGAATAGAATAGAAAATCCCTTTATTGTTCCTCAGTGGGGAAAGCTAGACGTCACAGCAGCGATGACACGTATTACAGGAGAAAAAAAGGAGAATAAAAATAAGAAAAATGAATAAACAAGAAAACATAAATCCTGAATAGATTTATAAAATGCTGATTATACACAAGTAATGAATACACTGATGCCTTTTATTTAAAACTGACTTGCTTGTGTGTCATTTGGTTATTCCACATTCAGTGTTAATGCAGAAATAAGTTTGTTTCCAATTTAAAGGTTCAAAATTGCATAAATGTTGATAAAGAAAATGTGCAAATTTGCCGTCACTTTTTCAAAAAAATATTAAGTTTGGCCCTCGACTCCGTCCCAGAGTTTCATTTCAGCCCCGTGTGAGTTTGAGTTTGACACCCCTGCCGTACACTGTTTCATCATAACATCAGCTGATGTTATTTTGTCCCCCCCCCCCCCCCCCCCCACATGAAGGGCACACCCACTTCCTGTCATGGAGCTGGTGTGGGAACAAACTAGACTCTTATGGGCTGACTCACACCACGCTGTACGGAGCTGCTTAGGCTGAGTGGAGCTCCTGGAAACACACCTCAGAAGGTGCCTGTAACAGTTTAACCAAGACAAAAACAAGATCACAACCTAAGAAGACCACCTCGAGGACAGCTAGGTCTTCAGGTGGACTGCAGAGACTGAGCTAGCCAGGCTGCTCCTGTGGTAGTCTCCCTGGGGTTCCCATGCTTCTATGGACCCTCTGGATCTCTGGGGCTTGGATCTCCTCCTTGGGGGGGCAGGTCTGTTAGCCCCTCACTTTCACTGTTAGATACTCTTGTAGACAGGGGCAAAGCTTCAGGGGGGGCTGGAGGGCAGCGGGCCCCTGACCCTGGGCTTGGAAGGGACCCGCCCTGCAACAAGGCAAATGAGAGGGAATGGCACCTCTGACAATAACCAAGTAAGACGAGCACTTCCATAACTTGTGTTCGGAGAAGAATGAGCCTCCGTTCAGTGAGAATGCCCCCCCCCCCCCCCCCCCCCCCCCCAATTTTAAATCATGCCTGAAGGCTCATTTTTATTCCTCGGCTTTTACTTCAGCCTAGCTGGCATTTTACTATGTCTCTGTTTTATTTTTATTGTTTTATAATAGTTACTGTACTACTTTTTATGACTTCTTCCCATGGTTTGATTTTGATGCTATTTTACTGTGCAGCACTTTGGTCGGCCCCGGCCGTGTAGAAATGTGCTTCATAAATAATTTATGTCTGGTCGGGGCGCTCTAGCTGAATCTGGAACACTGCCTGTGAGAGTAAAACGGTAAGGCTTGGAGCTTAGACAACACGATCAATGATAATTAGCCTTCACTTCACGTGGAAAGCACCTTTCACAGTCAGACCCCCCAAAGCGATTTACCCTGCCGTGTAACATTTGTGGTTGCTCTACAACCGGACCGCCTACGGGGAAAAGGTTGTACTCACCGTCGGGTGGTTTTAACGTTGGAATGGTGCCGGTGTTCTGAGAAAACGTCCTACCCGTAGGATAATTTTACGGTGTTTTACACACGAACCCTAACCCTAACCATAACTCTAACCCTAACATCTACTCTACCTAACCAAAAAAAAATAATCAAGTACCAACGTCAATAAAAAGTACTGATACTTACTACTTATCTATTTTCCTGCAAATATGACAGCAGAGTAGCATTCCCCTTTTGTGTTGTGCGCATGCGCGCACATGCTCAGTAACAACGGGTAGGACGGTTTACGGGGTAGGAGAAATTCCCAGAACACCGGTTTAAGGAAGTAATCCATCTGAAAGCCTGCTGCGGTACTGCTGGTGGTTTAACAAGCAGTCTGTTAAATCACTGTCGCATTCTGGCGCGGTTTCTGAGAACTAAAATCCAACCGTTTCTGCAGATGAAAGTCTTCTTTAGAAGAGTGGACAGGGATCCTGTTTAATGGATTAATTAGATAATAAAGAAATCACTTCTTCACAGCTGTGGAGATTAAACTCCCTGCTAGCTACACAGAAGGGGCTTTTATAGGACACTCCATGCCGGCAAATCGGCGTAGTATTACCGCAATGGTGTGTCTATAACCGCGCCATGCCGACATGGCGTTGCGCGAATATTGTGGTATTCGTTCCGCCTCGCTTGGTAGTAATATTGCCGCATCAGCCCCTCGCCTCTGACGGCTAAACGCGTGTCAGCCCGGCTAATCCCTTTGGAGTGACTGTGGGAGCCCCCCCCCCCTGCAAAAGAGGGTGGTCACGTGTACTGCGCGCCGGGTGCCAGCCTGAAGGAAAGCCGGCCGGCCGGACGTGAACACCATTGAGCTTTTGGCCGTGCGAGCGGACGAACAGATCAGTCGCCTTTTCACGGGGACGGTGAGAGACCGCCAGCTGTTCGACAGAGTGGTGAAAACACCGGCTGAGCAGGGCGTCAAGCAGGACAAAAGCAGGTCACATCAAAGGTAAAGGTCCTGAAAAAGAGATTTCATCAGGCTGACGCTGAATGCACGACCCGGTACGTCACATCCGGGGGGGGGGGGGGGGGGGGGGGGGGGGCGCGGTTCACAGATAATCCCTGCCTATATGGGATTAGAGCCATCCAAATAAAACAGAGTCACAGTTTCCAAATGCGGTCTAGATTAGATTGGTCTTATTTGAGTTAGATGGTGCAGATAGTAGCAGGACCTCAACACTCCTTGTACATGTCCAACTTTAAGAGTGCTCCCGGAATAAAACCCTCTCACGAAGGGCTGAGGAGCCCAGATCAAAGCCCTGAGTCAAATCTGGGCCGAAGATAATAATGTCTGTTTGATTATCGCTGATAATTCCTTTCCACACATGTCCTGATCTCCACCAGTGGCTGAATCCAACTCGTCGTATAATCTCATCCACTGTTTCTCCAGTCCAGCTGCAGTCTTTGTGCTGGAGGTTTTCCTAAAGGTTTGAGACTTTCCCAGTAGATGACTGGTTTCTGTATTCCAGGTGAAGTGTGACCACTACTGGCCATTCACAGACGAGCCGGTGATGTACGGCGACATCAGCGTGGAGATGCTGTCTCAGAGCGAGTCTCCCGAGTGGATCATCAGAAAGTTTCGACTCGGATATGTTAGTTTCTTCTCCTGGTCTACACGAGCACCCGAAGCTCGAACACGCCTTAACACTGACTGGCTGTTGCCCCCCACAGGCCGACGAGACTCAGGATGTCCTCCATCTGAATTACACTTCGTGGCCAGATCATGGCGTTCCCACAGTCAACGCCATCGAGAGTATCCTGCAGTTTGTTCACATAGTCCGCCAGCAGGCCAACAGGAGCAAACAGCCCATCGTGGTCCACTGCAGGTCTGTAAACCCGTGGGGTCAAAAGGGTTTCAGAACAGGATAGACACCACAGAAAGTTCTGTTCACTCATTTTTTACCACGTGGAATCAGCTGATTAGCCATGTGATCAATCTCAGTCCACGTGGACTCAAACCACTTCATGAGAACTGAAGATCTGTTGCGGATCTCACAGAATCCTCACAGCAGTTTTTGGTTCCTGTTTCAGCGCCGGGGTCGGCAGAACTGGGACCTTCATGGCCTTGGATTGCCTCATGCAGCACATTCGAGAGCACGAGTTTGTGGACATCCTGAGCATGGTGTCAGAGATGAGATCGCATCGACTGTCGATGGTCCAGACGGAGGTCAGCTGAAAGCACTTGCAGACTTATGTTGTCCTGCTTTATCAAAGCATGGTTAGGTTGTTTTTGAAAGGAGGGTCTGACCATTTGGATCCATTGAAAGAGTCAACATCTGTTCAGGTTCTGCCAACAAGAACATTAGTAGAGCCAGGTTAGAAATCTTGGTGTTTTGGGCCCTGGCAAGATGGGCTGGGGTCTCCATGCCCTGGGTGGCATTTTGACAACAGAGGTGCCTATTGGGGCCAGTGAGGAAGCTGGATCCCTTGAGGGCTTAAGTCCAACCAGCCATTCCTCCCCATCCCCACAAATTTCTCTCCTCCTGCTCCCTCACATCATCACACAATCAGGCACATAGGACCTTGGGGGGTGGACAAGTCAGGGGGTGTGGGTATGGATCCCATTTCCACATTCCTGTGGCAACCTGCCCCCCAATTTTATTTGCACCTTAAACACTTCCACTGACGACATTCCACGCAAACACACACTTAGGGCCTTGGGAGTGAGCACATTCAACGGCATTTGGTAGGGGGATATCTCAGCCTCATCCCAATTGCCGGTGCCCACTTCCAATTTTAAACTGCACTTAGACACTGAGGGCTTTGGGTGCAAGTGGGGTGGTGTGGTGGCATCAGCTGGCATAGGCCAGACGATGCCCGCACTGCCCGCGGAGGGAGACTAGGGGTCGGTCTTAGCACACCTCTGTTGTTGCTGGGCTTCCTGGGGCTGGAGGCTAGGAGGGAGATCTGGCCGTCTGGTTGGGGTCTGGGGTGGTGGGTTGCTGTGCTCAGCGTTGGGCGGGGGAGCCTGCTCATCAGCACCCCAGCAGAAAGGGTCAAACTCTGGTAACCGGTGATGGTTGTACCCCATGTGCAGCAGTACCGGGACCAGAGTGAATAGGGTGTGTATGGGGAGCATGAGTGGGTGTCCGGCGTGCATTTTTGTAAGTCTTTGGTTGTATGTGCATGTGTGAGCATGAGGGAGGGTGTGTGACTGTGTTTGTGTATGACTGTATATGTCAGGTGGGGCCTTTGACTCCTCTCCTCTCCTCAAACTTCTCTTGATGATATAGATCTTCATCCCCCCTCCCCCTGCCACACCTGGTGTGGGGTGTGGTGCCTTGGTCTGCCTGGGTCGTGGCTCCCGGGTCAGGGGGTTTAAGATTTCTGGCGTCTGCCTGACCAATCCCGGTGGCTGCCATGTGGGGTCTGGGTCCCTGGACTCTGCTGGGTCCTCGGCGGGGGTGGTCACCCCTGGGTCCCCGTCGCTGGGTCCCAGGCTCGGCCGGCTAGGGGGTGGGAGGTGGGTTTGCCACTGATGTCTCCCGGGACTCTGCCGGCTGCTGGTTGTGGTCGCCGGGGCGATCCTCTGCGCCTCTTGAGGGGGGCGGGGGCTTTTCTGGTTGCAGTCTCCTTGGGGTCCCTGCACTCTGGGGCAGCGCCTGGATCTCTGGGACTTGGAGCACCCCCCGTCTCCTACACATCTTTAGGGGCAGATCTGTGGTCCCTCACACTCTCTATTGGATGCTCCTATAGAGAAACCTTACATAAACAAGCGTTTGTACACACACAGGTGCTCACATGGTGCTCTCATAAGTATGGACTTGGGCACGTTCAACACATGTCTTGAGGCTGTGGTTGCCACTAAATGCACTGTGATTTATTATCGTGTGATTGTTCAGTTAAACGATGTTGATTTTATATTTCTTCATCAGGTTGATGCAGTGATAGCTTGCTCCTGATGTATTGTTGTGTGTTGTTTTTGATTGTTTTTGTCCTTTTGCAGGTCTAGAAGCAGACTCTTGTTCGTTATTGATTGTTTAATTTCGTGGACCCCCCCCCCCCCCCCCCCCCACACACACACACACACACACACACTTACCCTGACCCAGAGGTTCCTGATCGAGCAGACGCGTGAGAATACATGTTGTCACGTGTATTTTAATGTTTTATATTCCTGATGATCCTGTGTGTGGAAGTGCTTTAGATCCAGAGCTGCCTAGCCTTGATGTCCGAGTCACCTGAACATGTTAAACAGGAACCATTTCAAGCGTTTGTAATCTTGTGTGTGTGTTTGGATCAGGAGCAGTACGTCTTCATCCATCAGTGCGTCCTGTTGATGTGGCAGAAGAAGAAGCAGCAGTCCATCACTTCAGACGTCGTCTACGAAAACGCCAGCAAGACATAATGAGACGCCTCCACACGTGGCCCAGCTCCATTCAGGAAACAGGTCAGATGAACCCTAATGCTAGTCCCGCCCCAAGCCCACCTCTACCCGAGCAGGTGAACGGGTGAATTTCCACTGATGAGAGCTGAGGCTCATGGCTATGGCGGGATAAGGGCTGGGGTAGGATTTGGGTTGGGGGTGGGTCTAGGGTTACAAGCTCGGCTGTTATTGGTGGACTTTCACCTGTTTACCTGCAAGCCATGTGTGCACATACACACCCATTAAACCATCCAGTCTTTCAAACTGTGTCCAGTGCCCTGATTGGTCCCAGTGGACAGCACTGGGACCAATCAGGGCAGCAAACATGATGTATTCATGGGTACGGATGTCGGTTCTCGAAGAAGAAAACGTAAATACGTCCTTCGTCCGAGTCTAAATCGTTCTAAGTTGATGCCAAAGCTGTTTTTAGAAAGCGGTTGCCATCTTTGTAGTTTTTCTTTATTGCAGCTATAGTGCAATACCCGCCCAACAAATGTAGAGCACTGTGATTGGTTCGACTCAAAGCTGTTTGGGCCAATGGTAGACCTGCTTCCTGCTGTAGAAATGTTGAGCTCACTGAAGCCCTGGCCATTGTCTTGCAGGCTGTGACCACGCCTGGCCTCCTGTGCTTCAGGCATCCATTCTCATAGAAGACGACCCGCTTCATCATCAGCATCAGCAACCAGAGGAAACTCTAATCCAGTCTTTTATTTGAATCGGTGTTAAAGCACGGGATGGAGTTCTGCCTTAAGGAGCGTTCACTGTCCAACATGTTCAACTACGACCCTGAAGGGTTCGACTATTGGTCACACGCTGCAGCGGTGCTCGCTCCGGCGGCGTCATGCCAACACTCGACACTCACACTCGAGTCAGCAGCTTTTCTTTTCACTCTTATTTTTATCTCAGGAGTTGCTGAAGACCAGCGAACATCTTCCTCAGCTGCCAACATCTCACTCTTTTACCTTTAGTTTGTGCTTCACCCATTCATCAGAGTGCAGCTTTGGGTGTTTGCGTGGTTACACACTGCCACACGACAGAGTGCTGCTGACCAGAACCCGCTGACCAGAACCCGCTGACCAGAACCCGCTGACCAGCAGACATCAAGCAGAACCAGAAATATGCTGAAAGTTTCAGGAAGGTAAAGCTCAGAGTTCCTTCATCGTCGTGTTTACAAAATCTGCACAAAACCCTCTGGAGTCGTAGATTCAGAAGCTGCTGGTTCTGAAGTTCAGGCCCTGGTACCGGTCTGGATGTGTGCTGGTTCTGAAGTTCAGGCTCTGGTACCGGTCTGGATGTGTGCTGGTTCTGCTCGTCAGGGTCAGAGGTTCAGAAGCTGTCGTTTGACTTTGCACTGAAGAGGAGTGGAGTTCCTGCTGCTCTACGAGAGGAACATTCCAACGGTACCACGCTACCAGGAACAGAGCAGTAGAACCGGGCTGGAGGAGGTTCTGAGCCCTGAATCATTTCAACGGAAAATGTTTTGTTAAATGTGTTCACCACTAATGTTTGTGTTTACTTTAAAGCCTGATCCTTGCTTCAGACTGGTTCTGGTTCTGGTTCTGCTCTAGATGAAGTCACTCATAAACACAGATGGCTGTCGGGTTCAGAGTCATGAATAAATCTGCCACTAACCCCATTAGATTCGTTGACTCTGTCATCCTAAACGGTTAGTGTGAAGCGGATAAACGATTCAGCCTTTAACATCATTGGCTTTGATGTCTGAAGTGTTAAAATGTGAATAAAGAACATTTATCAGGTTCTTCGTTAGTGATGCAGAACTGCAGAATGGACATTAATGAAGAGGTCCTTCACTGAAATACCATCTTTAATGATCATCTCTGATTCTAACGGGTCACTCTGAGTGTTTCATGCAGGCTGAACATGAAAATAGTCTCCTACACCTATCTCCTGGTTTAGCTTCTGATAGACAACAGACGGTGAAACTCTAGGATAGAAAATCCTGACAGATCTACGTCACCCTGTCACTAACATTCATGGACTCACCCATCTGGACTCACGACGGGGAAGCTGTTGTTGGTTTAGTCCAGGAAACAGCAGAGAACGTCTCAGCTAGTAGAAGCTAACTGTTAGCATTAGCAACTCCACCACACAACAGAACTCCTCCAGGCTTGGGTTATTGGTGGAGATAAAACATCAACGTTGCAGAGCAAACAGACTCAGTGGTAGAGTCATGTTGCTGTTAGCCAATCAGAGGAGAGATGTCCACATATCAGGAAGTAAGACTCCAGATCCTGCCGTTTGATCTGGCTTGCTTCTACTTCCTGAAACAGGTGCACCAGAGCTTTGTTTCCTCAGAGTACGACTTTCATTCATTCATTCCTACTAGAGACCACTGTAGATGTACTACAAACATAAGTGAAGCAACTCTTTGAACTCATTTTGTTTTCCAGATGTTGTTTTCAGCGTGACCTCCAGATGGCAGTAATGTGTACGTACTCCTAAACTGTTGCTTCCTGCACAGGTCGTGATATGAAAGTAGATGTCTATTTTTGGCATCATGAAGGACATTAATCAGAGTCAGGTTTGTTGCCATGTAGGTGAGAGAGTCATTTACATGGCAACAAACCTGATCCTGATTCTGATGGGCCAAATGTCACAAACAATGTTTATTTACGTTTTGTTTGTTTTGGTGCCTCCTGGTGTCTGATCAGAAATCTGTTCTGCTGCTTTGCTCTAATCAGTTCATGTTGATGGTCGAAACCCACTCCTCTCATCGGTGGCTGTAGTGACGCCACCAGTAGAGGAGTTACACACTTATCTTATCTTTGATCCTGCAGTTGTGGTGCAACAGCAAGACCTTTAAGCTTCGCAGGGACGTTAAAAATGACTGAATTTCTTTATTTAAACATGTTATTAAACCAAACTAAGTTATTGCTGTGGGAAATAATTTACTGACAACTCAGTGAAGTTCTGGAAGTTATGAATGAAATGAATTGGATCGAACTAACAATCTTCTAAACTGTTGTCGTGGTTTGGCTTTACACCTTGTAAACAGGTTGTTTCACCATAAAAACATCAAACTCTTCATGTTTCTGCAGCTGGAGCCTGAACATCTTAAATAGGTTCAAGAAAATATTTTTTTTCTATTTTTAATTTCTTATTTTAGACAAAGTGTGTTGTTTTGCCAGGAGAAGATGATGTTGGCATTTAAAAACACTTTGTAAGTATGTACAGAGATTTCATAAATCTGTGAGTGTTTGTTAAAGTTTTGAGGTAATTTTGTGGTGCTGATCCAGCTGTTATAACTGATCAAGCTGTTATAACTGATCAAGCTGTTATAGCTGATCCAGCTGTTATAACTGATCCAGCTGTTATAACTGATCCAGCTGTTATAACTGATCCAGCTGTTATAGCTGATCCAGCTGTTATGACTGCTCCAGCTGTTATAACAGATCCAGCTGTTATAGCTGATCCAGCTGTTATAACTGATCCAACTGTTATAACTGATCCAGCTGTTATAGCTGATCCAGCTGTTATAACTGATCCAGCTGTTATGACTGCTCCAGCTGTTATAACAGATCCAGCTGTTATAGCTGATCCAGCTGTTATAACTGATCCAACTGTTATAACTGATCCAGCTGTTATAACTGATCCAGCTGTTATGACTGCTCCAGCTGTTATAACTGATCCAGCTGTTATGACTGCTCCAGCTGTTATAACTGATCCAACTGTTATAGCTGATCCAGCTGTTATAGCTGATCCAGCTGTTATAGCTGATCCAGTTGTTATAACTGATCCAGCTGTTATGACTGCTCCAGCTGTTATAACTGATCCAGCTGTTATGACTGCTCCAGCTTTTATAACTGATCCAACTGTTATAGCTGATCCAGCTGTTATAAATGATCCAGCTGTTATAGCTGATCCAGTTGTTATAACTGATCCAGCTGTTATAACTGATCCAGCTGTTATAGCTGATCCAGCTGTTATAGCTGATCCAGTTGTTATAACTGATCCAGCTGTTATGACTGCTCCAGCTGTTATAACTGATCCAGCTGTTATGACTGCTCCAGCTTTTATAACTGATCCAACTGTTATAGCTGATCCAGCTGTTATAAATGATCCAGCTGTTATAGCTGATCCAGTTGTTATAACTGATCCAGCTGTTATAGCTGATCCAGCTATTATAGCTGATCCAGTTGTTATAACTGATCCAGCTGTTATAACTGATCCAGCTGTTATAGCTGATCCAGCTGTTATAGCTGATCCAGCTGTTATAACTGATCCAGCTGCTATAACTGATCCAACTGTTATAACTGATCCAGCTGTTATAGCTGATCCAGCTGTTATAACTGATTCAGCTGTCATAACTGATCCAGCTGTTATAGCGGATCCAGCTGTTATAGCTGTTCCAGCGGTTATAACAGCCGCAACAGTTATAACAGCTGTTATATGTCACATTTCACAGGTAGGTAGGTGGTGTCTTGTACATACTGCTGAACTGCTCAATTTCTACTCATTTCTAAGTGAATCTTGTGAAACTGTTGCTTTAGACTTTTACTTTTGAAAGCAGTAAATATGAGTTCTCTGAGCCAGAACTGCATCGGTTCAGAAGACATGAAGAACTCACATCTGGTGTGTTATACAAGCTTTGATACAGGTGTGGAAAACGAGCTCTGAACCCTTTTCCAGTTCTTGCTTAGTGTGTTCAGTTGGAATCTGCTCATCACTGGTGCCATTCTTGTTCATTGTGTCATTACAGTTTGAACCAAACTGTCACAGACTTAATATGTTAGACTAAATAAAATGTTGCAGTAAACCAGTCCAGTGAGTTTAATACTAAAGCAGTGGCCTCGTTATCTTATGGATGAGCTTTGTTCTTCACTCTGCTCCAGTCAGAGCAGAAAGTCAACAGAATCACATGAGCTGTGGTTCTGGACTCATCCCGCAGCATACTGCAGAGGAGGAGCAGTGTGGTTCAGGACTCATCCCGCAGCATACTGCAGAGGAGGAGAAGTGTGGTTCAGGACTCATCCCGCAGCGTACTGCAGAGGAGGACCTGACTGTGGACCTGCGGGCCACCTCTTTACCTTAGCTAGGATGCTCCAGCACATTTGATTCACACCTGCTGATTAAAACCAGGTCTGCCTGAGCAGGGTGATGACTAAAACATGCTGGATACGGACTTCTGTGGGCCAGGGCTGCCCACTACTGCTGTAGTCCATGTTAACGAGGACACGCGTGTGGTTTCCGTACATGTTTAATTGCAGATTGAGCAGTTACATGTTAAGAAGGCACAATGAGAGCTATCATGCACTAATGCGTCTGACTGGCCTCTACAACTGATCAGGGACAAGAACCTCTAAACCAGCATTTATGACTCACCTGTAAACTATGAGCTCAGTCTGAGAAGTGCATAAATACAAAGATCCATCCCATCAGAGGGAGCCTAAGTCACGCCCACCTACTTCCGGACCATGGTTCCCAGGAAGATGGAACGTCAAAATTAATGCAAGTCAACAGGGCTAAAAACACTGTTTTCTAACTGGTCATGTGGTGAGTAGCAGCTACGCTAGGGAGAAGCTCTGTGGTGATGTCATATGCGACATGGTCGAAACACTAAAGCACATGAGGGGCGTGGTTGAAACACTAAAGCACATGAGGGGCGTGGTCGAAACACTAAAGCACATGAGGGGCGTGGTCGAAACACTAAAGTACATGAGGGGCGTGGTCGAAACGCTAAAGTACACGAGGGGCGTGGTCGAAACACTAAAGTACACGAGGGGCGTGGTCGAAACACTAAAGTACACGAGGGGCGCGGTCGAAACACTAAAGTACACGAGGAGCGTGGTCGAAACACTAAAGAACACGAGGGGCGTGGTCGAAACACTAAAGTACACGAGGGGCGTGGTCGAAACACTAAAGTACACGAGAGGCGTGGTCGAAACACTAAAGTACACGAGGGGCGTGGTCGAAACACTAAAGTACATGAGGGGCGTGGTCGAAACACTAAAGTACATGACGGGCGCGGTCGAAACACTAAAGTACATGAGGGGCGTGGTCGAAACAAGAAACACTAAAGTAAATGAGGGGCGCGGTCAAAACACTAAAGCACATGAGGGGCGTGGTCGAAATACTAAAGCACATGAGGGGCGTGGTCGAAACACTAAAGCACATGAGGGGCGTGGTCGAAACACTAAAGCACATGAGGGGCGTGGTCGAAACACTAAAGCACATGAGGGGCGTGGTCGAAACACTAAAGTACATGACGGGCGTGGTCGAAACACTAAAGCACATGAGGGGCGTGGTCGAAACACTAAAGCACATGAGGGGCGTGGTCGAAACACTAAAGTACATGACGGGCGTGGTCGAAACACTAAAGTACATGACGGGCGTGGTCGAAACACTAAAGTACATGACGGGCGTGGTCGAAACACTAAAGTACATGACGGGCGTGGTCGAAACACTAAAGTACATGACGGGCGTGATCGGAACACTAAAGTACATGAGGGGCGTGGTCGAAACACTAAAGTACATGAGAGGCGTGGTCGATACACTAAAGTACATGAGGGGCGTGGTCGAAACACTAAAGTACATGACGGGCGTGGTCGAAACACTAAAGTACATGAGGGGCGTGGTCGAAACACTAAAGTACATGAGGGGCATGGTCGAAACACTAAAGTACATGAGGGGCGTGGTCGAAACACTAAAGTACATGAGGGGCGTGGTCGAAACACTTAAGTACATGACGGGCGTGATCGAAACACTAAAGTACATGAGGGGCGTGGTCGAAACACGAAACACTAAAGTAAATGAGGGGCGCGGTCAAAACACTAAAGCACATGAGGGGCGCGGTCGAAACACTAAAGCACATGAGGGGCGTGGTCGAAACACTAAAGTACATGAGGGGCGTGGTCGAAACACTAAAGCACATGAGGGGCGTGGTCGAAACACTAAAGCACATGAGGGGCGTGGTCGAAACACTAAAGCACATGAGGGGCGTGGTCAAAACACTAAAGTACATGAGGGGCGTGGTCAAAACACTAAAGTACATGAGAGGCGTGGTCGAAACACTAAAGTACATGAGGGGCGTGGTCGAAACACTAAAGTACATGAGGGGCGTGGTCGAAACACTAAAGAACATGAGGGGCGTGGTCGAAACACTAAAGTACATGAGGGGCGTGGTCGAAACACTAAAGTACATGAGGGGCGTGGTCGAAACACTAAAGTACATGAGGGGCGTGGTCGAAACACTAAAGTACATGAGGGACGTGGTCGAAACACTAAAGTACATGACGGGCGTGGTCGAAACACTAAAGTACATGAGGGGCGTGGTCGAAACACTAAAGTACATGAGGGGCGTGGTCGAAACACTAAAGTACATGAGGGGAGTGGTCGAAACACTAAAGTACATGAGGGGCGTGGTCGAAACACTAAAGTACATGAGGGGCGTGGTCGAAACACTAAAGTACATGAGGGGCGTGGTCGAAACACTAAAGTACATGACGGGCGTGGTCGAAACACTAAAGTACATGACGGGCGTGGTCGAAACACTAAAGTACATGACGGGCGTGGTCGAAACACTAAAGTACATGACGGGCGTGGTCGAAACACTAAAGTACATGACGGGCGTGGTCGAAACACTAAAGTACATGAGGGGCGTGGTCGAAACACTAAAGTACATGAGGGGCGTGGTCGAAACACTAAAGTACATGAGGGGCGTGGTCAAAACACTAAAGTACATGAGGGGCGTGGTCGAAACACTAAAGTACATGACGGGCGTGATCGAAACACTAAAGTACATGAGGGGCGTGGTCGAAACACTAAAGTACATGAGAGGCGTGGTTTATACACTAAAGTACATGAGGGGCGTGGTCGAAACACTAAAGTACATGACGGGCGTGGTCGAAACATTAAAGTACATGAGGGGCGTGGTCGAAACACTAAAGTACATGAGGGGCGTGGTCGAAACACTAAAGTACATGAGGGGCGTGGTCGAAACACTAAAGTACATGAGGGGCGTGGTCGAAACACTAAAGTACATGACGGGCGTGGTCGAAACACTAAAGTACATGACGGGCGTGGTCGAAACACTAAAGTACATGAGGGGCGTGGTCGAAACACGAAACACTAAAGTAAATGAGGGGCGCGGTCAAAACACTAAAGCACATGAGGGGCGTGGTCGAAACACTAAAGCACATGAGGGGCGTGGTAGAAACACTAAAGTACATGAGGGGCGTGGTCGAAACACTAAAGTACATGAGGGGCGTGGTCGAAACACTAAAGTACATGAGGGGCGTGGTCGAAACACTAAAGTACATGAGGGGCGTGGTCGAAACACTAAAGTACATGACGGGCGTGGTCGAAACACTAAAGTACATGAGGGGCGTGGTCGAAACACTAAAGTACATGAGGGGCGTGGTCGAAACACTAAAGTACATGACGGGCGCGGTCGAAACACTAAAGTACATGACGGGTGTGGTCGAAACACTAAAGTACATGATGGGCGTGATCGAAACACTAAAGTACATGAGGGGCGCGGTCGAAACACTAAAGTACATGACGGGCGTGGTCGAAACACTAAAGTACATGACGGGTGTGGTCGAAACACTAAAGTACATGACGGGCGTGATTGAAACACTAAAGTACATGAGGGGCGTGGTCGAAACACTAAAGTACATGAGAGGCGTGGTCGATACACTAAAGTACATGAGGGGCGTGGTCGAAACACTAAAGTACATGAGGGGCGTGGTCGAAACACTAAAGTACATGAGGGGCGTGGTCGAAACACTAAAGTACATGACGGGCGTGATCGAAACACTAAAGTACATGAGGGGCGTGGTCGAAACACAAAACACTAAAGTAAATGAGGGGCGCGGTCAAAACACTAAAGCACATGAGGGGCGTGGTCGAAACACTAAAGCACATGAGGGGCGTGGTCGAAACACTAAAGCACATGAGGGGCGTGGTCAAAACACTAAAGCACATGAGGGGTGTGGTCGAAACACTAAAGTACATGAGGGGCGTGGTCAAAACACTAAAGCACATGAGGGGCGTGGTCGAAACACTAAAGTACATGAGGGGCGTGGTCAAAACACTAAAGTACATGAGGGGCGTGGTCGAAACACTAAAGTACATGAGGGGCGTGGTCGAAACACTAAAGTACATGAGGGGCGTGGTCGAAACACTAAAGTACACGAGGGGCGTGGTCGAAACACTAAAGAACATGAGGGGTGTGGTCGAAACACTAAAGTACATGAGGGGCGTGGTCGAAACACTAAAGTACATGAGGGGCGTGGTCGAAACACTAAAGTACATGACGGGCGTGGTCGAAACACTAAAGTACATGAGGGGCGTGGTCGAAACACTAAAGTACATGAGGGGCGTGGTCGAAACACTAAAGTACATGACGGGCGTGGTCGAAACACTAAAGTACATGAGGGGCGTGGTCGAAACACTAAAGTACATGAGGGGCGTGGTCGAAACACTAAAGTACATGAGGGGCGTGGTCGAAACACTAAAGTACATGACGGGCGTGGTCGAAACACTAAAGTACATGAGGGGCGTGGTCAAAACACTAAAGTACATGAGGGGCGTGGTCGAAACACTAAAGTACATGAGGGGCGTGGTCGAAACACTAAAGTACATGACGGGCGTGGTCGAAACACTAAAGTACATGACGGGCGTGGTCGAAACACTAAATTACATGACGGGTGTGGTCGAAACACTAAAGTACATGACGGGCGTGGTCGAAACACTAAAGTACATGACGGGCGTGGTCGAAACACTAAAGTACAAGACGGGCGTGGTCGAAACACTAAAGTACATGACGGGCGTGGTCGAAACACTAAAGTACATGAGGGGCGTGGTCGAAACACTAAAGTACATGAGGGGCGTGGTCAAAACACTAAAGTACATGAGGGGCGTGGTCAAAACACTAAAGTACATGAGGGGCGTGGTCGAAACACTAAAGTACATGACGGGCGTGATCGAAACACTAAAGTACATGAGGGGCGTGGTCGAAACACTAAAGTACATGAGAGGCGTGGTCGATACACTAAAGTACATGAGGGGCGTAGTCGAAACACTAAAGTACATGACGGGCGTGGTCGAAACACTAAAGTACATGAGGGGCGTGGTCGAAACACTAAAGTACATGAGGGGCGTGGTCGAAACACTAAAGTACATGACGGGCGTGGTCGAATCACTAAAGTACATGAGGGGCGTGGTCGAAACACTAAAGTACATGACGGGCGTGTTCGAAACACTAAAGTACATGACGGGCGTGGTCGAAACACTAAAGTACATGAGGGGCGTGGTCGAAACACAAAACACTAAAGTAAATGAGGGGCGCGGTCAAAACACTAAAGCACATGAGGGGCGTGGTCGAAACACTAAAGCACATGAGGGGCGTGGTCGAAACACTAAAGTACATGAGGGGCGTGGTCGAAACACTAAAGTACATGAGGGGTGTGGTCGAAACACTAAAGTACATGAGGGGCGTGGTCGAAACACTAAAGTACATGACGGGCGTGGTCGAAACACTAAAGTACATGAGGGGCGTGGTCGAAACACTAAAGTACATGAGGGGCGTGGTCGAAACACTAAAGTACATGACGGGCGCGGTCGAAACACTAAAGTACATGAGGGGCGTGGTCGAAACACGAAACACTAAAGTAAATGAGGGCGCGGTCAAAACACTAAAGCACATGAGGGGCGTGGTCAAAACACTAAAGCACATGAGGGGCGTGGTCAAAACACTAAAGCACATGAGGGGCGTGGTCAAAAAACTAAAGTACATGAGGGGCGTGGTCGAAACACTGAAGTACATGAGGGGCGTGGTTGAAACACTAAAGTACATGAGGGGCGTGGTCGAAACACTAAAGTACATGAGGGGCGTGGTCGAAACACTAAAGTACATGAGGGGCGTGGTCGAAACACTAAAGTACATGAGGGGCGTGGTCAAAACACTAAAGTACATGAGGGGCGTGGTCAAAATACTAAAGTACATGACGGGCGTGGTCGAAACACTAAAGTACATGAGGGGCGTGGTCGAAACACTAAAGTACATGACGGGCGTGGTCGAAACACTAAAGTACATGACGGGCGTGGTCGAAACACTAAAGTACATGACGGGCGTGGTCGAAACACTAAAGTACATGACGGGCGTGATCGAAACACTTAAGTACATGAGGGGCGTGGTCGAAACACTAAAGTACATGAGATGCGTGGTCGATACACTAAAGTACATGAGGGGCGTGGTCGAAACACTAAAGTACATGAGGGGCGTGGTCGAAACACTAAAGTACATCAGGGGCGTGGTCGAAACACTAAAGTACATGAGGGGCGTGGTCGAAACACTAAAGTACATGACGGGCGTGGTCGAAACACTAAAGTACATGACGGGCGTGGTCGAAACACTAAAGTACATGACGGGCGTGGTCGAAACACTAAAGTACATGACGGGCATGATCGAAACACTAAAGTACATGAGGGGCGTGGTCGAAACACTAAAGTACATGAGATGCGTGGTCGATACACTAAAGTACATGAGGGGCGTGGTCGAAACACTAAAGTACATGAGGGGCGTGGTCGAAACACTAAAGTACATGAGGGGCGTGGTCGAAACACTAAAGTACATGAGGGGCGTGGTCGAAACACTAAAGTACATGAGGGGCGTGGTCAAAACACTAAAGTACATGAGGGGCGTGGTCGAAACACTAAAGTACATGACGGGCGTGGTCGAAACACTAAAGTACATGAGGGGCGTGGTCGAAACACTAAAGTACATGAGGGGTGTGGTCGAAACACTAAAGTACATGACGGGCGTGGTCGAAACACTAAAGTACATGACGGGCGTGGTCGAAACACTAAAGTACATGACGGGCGTGATCGAAACACTAAAGTACATGAGGGGCGTGGTCGAAACACTAAAGTACATGAGATGCGTGGTCGATACACTAAAGTACATGAGGGGCGTGGTCGAAACACTAAAGTACATGAGGGGCGTGGTCGAAACACTAAAGTACATCAGGGGCGTGGTCGAAACACTAAAGTACATGAGGGGCGTGGTCGAAACACTAAAGTACATGACGGGCGTGGTTGAAACACTAAAGTACATGAGGGGCGTGGTCGAAACACTAAAGTACATGAGGGGCGTGGTCGAAACACTAAAGTACATGAGGGGCGTGGTCGAAACACTAAAGTACAAGAGCCGACTGGGAAGGGAGGAGACTTAGGCTCCCTATTAAGGACAGCTGTGGTTCTAGGAGCCTTCACCTCTAACAGGTTCTAGATCCAGATGCTTCTGCTCCTGGTTCTGGTTTGACTTTACACCCACAGAACATCTTTAACATAAAAAGTCTTTGAACCAAACAGAACATAAGAACCTTTATTTTGAAGCTCTGTACAGGAAGCAGCCTAAAAACCTAATTAATAAACATGATGATGACTTAGTGATTTGATTTCAAAACGGCGAATCATCAGAACCTTCGTCCATCCTGTAAAAACACCAGTTTGAGGTTTGAGAAGCAGGAAGTGTGGGTTTGATCTCCTGATCCCAACAGCATGAAGCTGGAGGTTCTGGTAGATTCCTGACCAATCAGCAGCGGGCGTTCTGGTTCAGACCCACCTGCTGTACCTGTAAAAGTTGGAGGAGCACAGACGTTCATGAAGCTCTAGCAGCAGAAAATGTGTGGGAACAGGAGTTAGAACGCAGAACCAACTCTGGTTCTGGAGGAGAATAAGGTCACAAAAACCCGGATTTAACGCTAATGACTCCGATCGGTTCGCTTTCAAATTCAAAACAGATTTCCCACAAAAGTCAACATGAATTATTTTATTCCACAGATGTATTTTTATGCTAACGCTGCAGGACGAACCAGAACAGCTGGTGTGAGTGGTCAGAACGGGTCAGGGGTCACAAGGCGCCTGAGATATTCCAACGTTAATACTGAGAGGCTTCAGCAGCAGAGGAGTGGGTCTCCTGAACGTTCATGTGAAGTTCAGGCAAACATGGCAGAATATTGGGGGTGGGGTTAATGTTCTGGACATCCAGGGGTCAGTCAGCTGGTCCGCTGGTTTCTACGGAGACGAGCTGAGGAGCTCCTGCCTGCGCCGCATGATCTCCACAAATGCTGCATGGTCCGCCGCTGCCTGAGAAGGAAGGAAATAGCTGGCTGCAGATTGGAAAGCAAAGAGGTGGAGCTCAGTGGGTACTGCTTTCATCAAAAGACTCCACCCCTGAATCCCAGGTAGTGGCTGCCAGCTTCTCCTGTCGCCTCCTCATGATCTCCTGGAGCTCAGAGCCCGAACTCTTCTGGAGGTGATGAGGACAGACATGAAGAGGAGACAGGGAGGAGTTAGAGGACAAATACAAACTCTAAATACAGATTCGATCCAAGGAGACTCTCAGAGGATCTGGGATCAAACCAGGATCATATTCAGCTAACACTAAAGCGCGGATCTGATCCCCGGAGAGTCTCACTCAGACTGGGGTCTGCACACCGCTGAAGAGTTCCTGGAGAACTCGGCCTGGAACCAATCAGCAGCAGGAAGCCTTCAGAGAGGTCCGAACATCTACAGGATTGTGGGCGGTAGGCAAACCTGGTCCTAGAGGTCCTGTTCCTGCTGGTGATTACCTGGATCAGGTGTGTTCAGCCATTTAGAAGCTGCAAGTTCATGCATGGCTGGAGAACATGCAGGACTGCAGCTCTCTAGGACCAGGGTGGTCCACCCCTGGTCTAGAGGCATGCTGGGAAACAGCTGACTGCAGCAGAATCAGACATTATAAAATAAAGCCAGATCCGACGTCAGGCTGAAATCAGCTGGAGGATCTAGTCCAAATTTACCCGCCTAATCTGTCAAGGTTCTGTTCAGACCGGACTACAAACTGAGCTACGCCACGGTCTCTACAGGTACAGGTGGGTGGGGGTGCAGGGGGCGGGGTTAAAGTAACCAGGAAGTGGATGCTGATCGAGCCACAGCAGGTTGGTGCTACCTCACAACGCTGCAACATAGAAACCTTGTTCTGATGGCCAGAACCCCCACCAGCACCAGAACTCAGTGGATCAGAACCTGGTTTTAGTCATCATCAACAAAACAACAGCTCTGGCTTGGATCAGCTGAACATGGTCCTGAACCCAGGTTCTGGTTTCAGATGACACCTGAAACCAGGTGATCTGCTGAGATTGGGCCAGCTGGGGGTTCTGACCATCAGAACCGTGGACATATTTATGTGGACAATACCTTACTGAAGGTTGTAAGAGAACCAGAAGATCAAAGGAGGGTCAGAAGAAGACCTGCAGATGGGAACAAAGACCACACACCAGACCTTCCCACAGTTGGGGGGGCAGAAAATGTCCAAAAACAAAAGTCCTGAAGAGAGCTTCAGCAACAAGGACGAGCTCCAGGTCACCTTCAGAACATCTCACATGAAACAGTGAGATGTTCCCACAGCTGTTCCCTAGTTCTGACACCTGACTGTTGAACAGGTGACGTGTGTGTGCTTGTTTCTTTTCCTAAAGCTTTTCCACATTCTGAGTCACTGAGGGTTTCCACTGGAGCTCGTCTCTGTTGTTCCTGTTTAATGAACCAATCAGGAGGATGGAAGCTCGGACACAATTTAAATAAAAACACAGCAAAAAAACTGTAACACAACACGGATGAGTTTCATAGCCTATAAATGTAAAGTTTTAACGAGGGCTGTAAGTATTTGGGTTAACCCTAACCCACACAAAAGATGAGTCTTGAAGAAGTCATTCAACAGAAAGGTCTTGTTTATCAGTGATCTTGAATTAAGCAGAGCCATCCTGGAAAACATGTCCCTGTTTTCAACCTGAGCTCCAGGCAAGGAGCTAAGGTTTTTACAATCCATGCTACGTTATGGACTTCCATCGGCTGGTCTGGTACTCCAAAACCTCCAGAGAACACAGGCCAAGAGCCAACCGCTTCCCTTAGCCCAGAGAGTTTTCCATCAGCACGCTGGCTGGTAAGCTCTAATTTATCTAGAATGCCGCCCTCGTTTCCGCAGCCTCCTCCAGGAACAACCCGGAGATGGACGCTGACTTAGTGGAAGGAGTGACAGGTGAAGAAGGAGAAAATGTAGAAGACTTTCCTCTCACTGTAAAATCAACCCGACGTGCCTCATAAGACTCCTCAACACTTCAGAACCCAAACCCTTTTAAATTAGAAAACAGACTGAAATACAGAAGAATCATTTTCAGTAAATGTATGGGTAGAATGCCACTTGCGGTTTTTAACTTGAATATTTGACCCAAGAAAGACGAAAAAGCGCTTTTGGCTAAAAATCTTTGGTGGCTGATTTTTCGGTGCATCCCTGATGCAAATGTGTGTTTTCGTCTTTGCAGCATTTCAGAACAATGACAATAACAGTTTTTTGCTCTTTACCACAACGACCACAGGTGCATGGATGCTTCGGAACACGCCAAGACTTTTTCACCTACTCACTGTACAGATGCGCCTTTCTATGATGGATTCCCTCACTCATGAGTTTATAACTTCCTCCCTCAGACAACACGACGATGATGATAACGCAGACTTTGTGAATGCGCTGATTGGGTGATCGTGTTAAGACCGAGTGAACAAGGACCTCTCAAAAAATAAAAACACGTTAACATTACTAAATTATTTGAGTTAACGGATGTGTTAAGGTGATAATGCGTTAACTTTGACAGCCTTAAAGTCAACAAATAAGTCAAGTTTGAATGAATACCAGAGGCACATTTCTATGTCTGCATTTTTTTTTATGTTTCCTCTTGGAAACTCAATTCTCCAGTTTCTATTTTATTTATTTCTATTTTTATTTATTTTGATTACTGAAACTTAAGGTGCCCTTGTGATTACCTGTATTTCTTTTTTCCTATTCTCCAAGTGTTTGTTCTGCCTTAACGAGTGAACCTCCCCACTGGGATCAATGGTCTATTCTATTCTATTCTATTCTATTCTATTCTATTCTATTCTATTCTATTCTATTCTATTCCAAAACACTATTTTTCTTGTAAAAGTCAAAATGTAAACTAAATTAAAGTGGTGTATCACAATTATTATGAAGAAAATAAGTACGGTATTTTAAAAGACCTGATGGTAAAACAGTAATTTCAGCGAAGCTCTCGATTTACCGGTGGATCTACGTTCCTACCCTCACCTATGGTCATGAGCTTTGGGTAGTGACAGAAAGAACGAGATCACGGAAACAAGCGGCTGACATGAGTTTTCTCCGAAGAGTGGCTGGGCTCTCCCTTAGAGATAGGGTGAGAAGCTCGGTCATCCGGGAGGGGCTCGGAGTAGACCCGCTGCTCCTCCACATCGAGAGGAGCCAGTTGAGGTGGCTCGGGCATCTGGTCAGGATGCCTCCTGGACGCCTCCCTGGTGAGGTTTTCCGGGCACGTCCAACCGGGAGGAGACCTAAAGGTAGACCCAGGACACGGGGGAGGGACTATGTCTCTCACCTGGCCAGGGAACGCCTTGGGATTCCCCCGGAGGAGCTGGCCCAAGTGGCTGGGGAGAGGGAAGTCTGGGCCTCTCGCCTTAGGCTGCTGCCCCTGTGACCCGACTCCAGATGAGCGGATGAAAATGGATGGATGGATGATTATTTTCTGCAAAATATTTAGTGTCTCTAAAGAATTTGGTAGTTTTCAAGCAGCATTTTAGTTCATTTAGCTCACCTCACCCGTAGCACTATACGTTAGGGCTGTGTGGATGGGGAGGATGGCGTTCTGCCTCGTACGGGCAGTGTAGTGAACACGTGTATTTCCAAAGGAGTTCCCAGAAATCCCTGAGCATGTGGACGACACTTAGAACGCGCGGGGAAGTCTGTCGTGTCCTCCTCATTAAGACAAACAAAGGCAGGCTGAGGTGCTTTGCTTCTGGAGACTCTGAACCACAACATTTTGTTCATTTGCTCCCTGTTCTCTCAGTTTTTGATCTCTCTAAATTTGCAGCTGAAACAGGGAAACGTATAACTAGCAGCCAGAATGGGTTTGGGTTTTTATTCCCCATGATTCCCTTTAGACTCCTGCTGTTTTAACCTCTAAGAGACCATCAGAAGAAGCGTCCGAGTGGTTGGACACTGACCTCCAGCGCTGCCTTCTGGACAGTGACCTGACTGAAGACACGCGCTCCATCGTCGGGACAAACTGTTTTTAGCTCCTCCTTGTTCAGGGAGAACAGCTGAGCTCCAGTCAGAACTCCCAGGCTGCTGATGGTGCTGAAACACAAACCGCCACACTGTCAGAACGACCCGGGGCTTCCTGTAGTTTGTCACAATAACAGCGTGGACACTCACACTGGGCTGAAGCCTTTGGCCTCCAGCCAGGCCCTCACTTCCTCTGGAGACGAGTCGTAGGTGATGCTGGCGGCGGGCAGGGCGCCGCTGCTGCTTTGACTCGGAACCTGAAGCTTCTTCTGAGTGCTGCGGCCCAAAGTCAGCCTGTGCACCAGCTCGTCTTGAACCTCCTCCATGTTGGACTTCCTGCCTGCAGGAGGAAGAAGAGACAAACGCCGCGTCTCGATGGTGACAGAAAATCTAAAAGTGTCAGTAAAGAATAAAATATTCATCCAGGAATAACTAGATTTATCAGGCAAAATGTAAGAGGACCGTCAACTAAATGGCCCGCATTTGTATACAGCCCCCCAAGGCGCTTTGCAACACAGTCAGTCATTCACCCATTCACACACTGATGGTGATGAGCTACGATGTAGCCACAGCTGCCCTGGGGCGCACTGACAGAGGCGAGGCTGCCGAGCACTGGCGCCACCGGTCCCTCCGACCACCACCAGCAGGCAACGTGGGTTAAATGTCTTGCTCAAGGACACAACAGCAGCATGCTCTGGTCAGAGCCGGGATCGAACCTGCAACCTTCTGATTACTGGACACCCCGCTCCACCTCCTGAGCTGCTGCTGGATTAGTTCAGTTGTTGTTGGATCTAGATAAAACACGGATTAGAGATGAAGGCAGAAGGAACGCCTTTCCAAACGGCTCTAATTCACAACAAAGGAATAAAATCTGTAAGCAGATTCAATAGAAAAGACCCAACTAGGACCTGTCCACCTGAGGGACACGTGGCTACGACGGAGGGCGGTCTGACACCTCAGCCCTTAAATAATCTGCACTTCTGTTACAGATTAATTTATTTCACTTTGAACCCTTTTTGTGACGTTTTCTAACCAAAACCAGGAAACGTTGATGCCATTTCTGTTCAGTCTGCCATGTTTGAGGGTGAACTTGTGTTTGGACTCACGGCTGCCTACGGCGGCTTTCTGGCTGCTCGGGTCCTTGGCGCCGGTGCTGATGATGTCATTAGTGGTGCTCAGGCCACTGTCGCCACTCGCTTTGAGGGTTTGGACCACTGGAGGTGGCAGCGGCGGTGTGGGAAGCCTGGTGGGGGCTGTAGGGGGCGCTGAGGGGACCTCCGTCATGGAGGTGGCTGCTGGATTACCGGGGACTGGGTCCAACTTTGCGGTCTGTTTCTAAAGAAGAAGAGAAGAAGTCCATTTCTCACCTCTGTGGTGAATGTCTTCATCTCCACGGTAACAGGATGCTGACATCACAAACAGCATCGCTGGCGTAACGTTTTGTAGACGGTTCCTTTTAATAAATAGTCAACAGAATATAAAGGTGTTCAATAAAATATAATATTCCACAAAACATGGATTATCAATATTATTGATCTTTTAATATGATTGATGATGAAACTGGGTAGTTTGGTTTATCCAGGGAAACAACACTTTATAATAATCTGACTCAGAGACAAAAATAGTTTATAAAATCTATTTATGACTACATGAATGATGATGAAAGGCTAATGATTATAAGTGGTGACACAGTGATGTTAAATGAGACCATGAATGAACGGATGAAACATGACCTGGTGTGTTTAAGGGTTTCTAAGTGACTCAGAAAGGCGTGATGTCTGGTTTATTAAATAATCTGGATGTTTGCTTTAATGTCATTTAACAAGTTATCAGATTAACCCCGACCGCTCTGACACCGTTGTTTACTCCACACACCCTGGATCAGGGAAGCTCCTGGGACATGTGACTGTATCGTTGGAGAAGTCCAACCAGCTCATTTGTCCACAGCGATGTCAGAGGTCAACACAAGTCCAGTGTCCAGCAGCTCCCCTGCCAGGAATAATGTGTGCTCCTGTTGACTTCCCTAGCCTTGCCACCGGGAAGAGGAAGCCATAACATTCCTCTCCTCCTGCCTTACGTGCTGGAAGCTAGCAGGTCTCATGAAGAAGTGGAGACTTAAAAAGATTCTTGTTTTGGTCTCATGAATGATTTATGTCCATCCACAGGTTGTTTACAATCATATTCTGTGTTATCTACAATCTAAAGTCCTTTCATAACTCATCTACATCCATGTTCATTCATTCAGATCTTAATCGCACTAAATGAGTCTCCTTAATGATGTAATAACAATTATCAGTTACACATTCATATAACAAGTTCAACAGATTTACTTCACGTGAAGCTGAACCAGCCTCTTCTGAGGGTCTGAGGAACGTGTGACGGCTGAGGCTCGTGGTGAACATCTAGACACGTTTCTCACATCTGGTTGGTCCAAGTTCATAAACAACCATTTGATTAAAAGTGAATCACTTCCTACTTCCCCAGTTCCAGCCTGAGTTCATCCAGAGCTCACAGCTCATGCTAAATGACCATCCTATGGAGAACCAACCAGATGTTTCAGTGGAATACTTTCAGCAGCACATGAACCGTCCTTCTGAACCAACAACTATTATTTACTCACCCACCACCCACTCATCAGACATGAGACATCCACCAGAAGCCACCTGGGAAGTATCTTCTGACCAGTCGTGCGTTTGCTGAGGGCGTCTACGACCTTCAGATGCATCAGAAGTCCACTCACTCGCTCTGAGAGACGGCTTCACCTGCAGACCGGATCTCCAGAGCTCCATGATCCAGGGTGTGGACATCACATTAACTCTTGATTTGGATGAAATTATTGATGTATTTAAAAGCCGACCTCGCCGATTACTTCTGTGAAACAGAGGCCAGCTACATCCAGGGAGTGATTAGGCTATAACTAGCATAGCTTAACTTCAGGTTATCATCTTTTGTATTATTTTGTCTCCTGTTTGCATCTGAAGAGTTACTGTTGGGTCAAACAGACAATAGTTCATTCCTGGTTAGTTTTCTCTTTTTTCGATCTCAAGTGTTTCCGTTTTTTCACATTTTAAATATTTTTTTGATTCTGGGATTTGAGTAAATTTTACTGCCTTTGGTTTTACTTTTCTTATGATTTATTTATTTATTTTTTCCCCGTGTCCTGTCTGGCTGTGAAGCAGAACTGATGTCTGAATGCTGGTGACAAGCCTTACAGATTTACTCTCAGGTGGAGCATCAAAACGTTTGCTTTTAATGTCACGCCTGATACTTAAAACTTCATTGTTGTTGTTTTTGAATGCTTTGTAATTCTGACCAGACACGGAGACAGAGGTGAAAGAGAAAGGAAAAGACAAAAGGTGGGGAGAGAGGGGGAAGGGGGTGGGGGGTTCCACAAAAATAAACAATAATGAACAAGAGTCTGCTTCTAGACCTGCAGAAAGAGAGAAGAAAAAAATGGGACACACAACAATACATCAGGAGCAAGCTATCACTGCATCAGCCTGATGATGAAATATAAAATCATCATTGTTTAACTGAACAATCACACGATAATAAACCACAGTGCATTTAGTGGCAACCAAGTCCATACTTATGAGAGCACCATGTGAGCACCTGTGTGTGTACACGCGCTTGTTTATGCAAGGTTTCTCTATAGGAGCATCCAATAGAGAGTGTGAGGGACCACAGATCCGCCCCCTAAAGATGTGCAGGAGACGGGGGGAGCTCCAAGTCCAGAGATCCAGGCGCTGTCCCAGAACACAGGAACCCCAAGGAGACTGCAACCAGAAAGCCCCCCCCCCCCCCCCCCGAGAGGCACAGAGGATCGCCCCGGGGGGCCACAACCAGCAGCCGGCAGACTCCCGGGAGACATCAGCGGCAAACCCACAGGCCCACCCGCAGCCTCCCACCCCCTAGCCGGCCGAGCCCGGGACCCAGCGACCCGGGACCCAGGGGCGACCACCCCCGCCGGGGACCCAGCAGAGCCCAGGGACCCTGACCCCACCAGGCAGCCACCGGGATCTATCAGGCAGACGCCAAAGATCTTAAACCCCCTGACCCGGGAGTAGGGTTGTCACGGTAACCGGTATAGCGGTAAACCCCGGTAAAAAAGTTGACAATAAAAATAACCGTCCAGTTTTTAAAAAACTAAATTATCTCGGTGGGTTTACCGTGGCCGCGGTTTCAGCGCGGTGACCCTTACCAGCCACCGTCGCTTCAGCTGAAGTTCCCGCGGCGCGCACACGCACTTTTTAGTTTGCAACGGCACCAAAACTTTGAAGCTGAAATAATGGCCGAAGGAGGAGACGGCAGCGCCCAGGACATCCACCAGCCCTCAAAGAAGACTAAATCGGAAGTATGGGCATATTTTGGATTTCTGAAAAATGCTGAGGGACAGTTAATAGAAGACGGCTATCCCGTTTGCAGAACGTGCAGGAAACAAGTGTCTGCAGAAGGCAGCAACACTTCAAATCTCATGGCACATCTGCGTGACCATCACCCACGTCTCTACAGCCAGTGCAAGGTAAGTTAACATTAGCATTTTAGCTTAAATGCATGACGTGAGGACTTTTGGTTGAGGGAGAATGCAACGAGTCACTATATCCTGCAGCCGCAGCGTCCTCTGGCAGCATTTAAACCGTGTCACGGACACCCTGTTGCTGCATGAAGCATCTTATTTGTTGATGATGAAGAGAAATATACAATTAGTTCCTTGTCATGGATTTGTTTACTTATTCAATGCCATTTATACTTGAACATTTGGATTTGATTACATAGTGTAGTAGTTATTTTAGTAATTTGTTTAAAGTGGCTATTTATTTTAAATACATATTTTTTAAGGTTGACTTGTACAGTGCTCAAGGCAAGTGTGGACTGGAGTTTTAGATTTTCATTTTGATAATGAAGAAAACAAGTATATGAGAAAACAAGTGGTGTTTCTTTGATTTGTTTACATATTGTTTATGTTTTGAATGTTTGGATTTGTATCATTTAAACCTGCACTGACTACTGTAACACGTTCCAGAAAAAGAAGCTATTTGTTCCTTTACTTGTGAAAAGTTGCACTTTTGCTAAGGCTTTGTGTTATTTTAGGTTTAATAAACACTGTTAAACCTTTTCAGAACTATTTCAGTTTGTGTAGAACAGGACTATCAATGCTTTCTGAACATATGCAACACCGTTTAAAAAATACCGCGATAATACCGAAAACCGTGATAATTTTGGTCACAATAACCGTGAGGTGAAATTTTCATACCGTGACAACCCTACCCGGGAGCCACGAACACCCAGGCAGACCAAGGCACCACACCCCACACCAGGTGTGGCAGGGGGAGGGGGGACAAAGATCTATGTCATAAAAAGAAGTCCCAGGAGAGGGGAGGAGTCAAAGGCCCCACCTGACATATACAGTCATACACAAACACAGTCACACACTCCCTCCCTCATGCTCACACATGCACATACAACCAAAGACTTACAAAAATGCACGCCGGACACCCACTCATGCTCCCCATACACACCCTATTCACTCTGGTCCCGGTACTGCTGCACATGGGGTTCAACCATCACCGGTTACCAGAGTTTGACCCTTTCTGCTGGGGTGCTGATGAGCAGGCTCCCCCGCCCAACGCTGAGCACAGCAACCCACCACCCCAGACCCCAACCAGACGGCCAGATCCCCCTCCTAGCCTCCAGCCCCAGGAAGCCCAGCAACAACACAGGTGGCCAAGACCCCTAGTCTCCCTCCACCTGCTCCAATATAGTGTTGTGTGTTGATGAGGTGTTTTCCATGGCTGTGGTGAGCGGGCAGTGCGGGCATTGTCTGCCCATGCCAGCTGATGCCACCACACCACCCCACTTGCACCCACAGCCCTTTGTGTCTAAGTGCAGTTTAAAATTGGAAGTGGGCACCGGCAATTGGGAGGAGGCTGAGAAGTCCCCCTGCCAAGTGCCTTTGAATGTTCTCACTCCCAAGGCCCTAAGTGTGTGTTTGTGTGGAATGTCGTCAGTGGAAGTGTTTAAGGTGCAAATAAAATTGGGGGGCAGGTTTCCACAGGAATGCGGAAATGGGGTCCAGACCCACACTCCCTGAATTGTCCACCCCCCAAGGTCCTATGTGCATGTTAGTGTGATGATGTGAGGGAGCAGGAGGAGAGAAACATGCAGTGCACAGACAGAGAAAGCCCTCTCTCCACGGCTTTTTAAACGTGCATTGGGAACAGCTAGGAGGAGCTTATCTTCAGACCTGAGAGCACGCGGCGGGTTGTAGTAATGGACAAGTTCACACAGATATGGAGGAGCTTGATGGTTCAAGGATTTGTAAGTGAGAAGCATAA